AAGTGACTCTTGAACCTCCATAACTTAAGGACAAGACTCTTCATTTTGTAACCATTGCCAACTTTTATGAGTTTTATGAGACTTAAATCTGACCTTCATGTAACTTGAGGACAAGTTACACAAACACATTTTAGAATCATCTCTTAGATTAAAATGGATTGAAAAAACACATAATCAATTAACTTAGCTATTAATCTAAGAAACTCATATGAACAAATATAATTCACATCAAACTTTTTCATGTAATTACCACATAAAAAACAAGTTTATAAGTTCAAAAACAGCTTAGGGTAATGTTCCTAGTCCAATTCCAACCAAAAAACACGAAGACAAGTTGTCAGGGGCCAAAAATCATCGAGTTCTATAGAGAACTCGTTGAGTTCATGCATTAAACAATGAACTCGTCGATTTTATTGAAAAAACTCGTTGATTTCAGTCTGGACAACTTCTTGGCTTCGAAAAATGTATTTGCATCAAGTATAAGAGAAAGCAAACCTGGCTCTGATACCACTGTTGGGTTTTGAGCATTCTAACACTCCTAAGTGTACATGCAACCCTAAATACCTTGGATCTATGTTTTCTCTATTATACATACAAATATGAAATTTCCAAGGTATTACCCTATCTAGCATACAATACTTGACACTTGGGTAATTAAATGGATAAAATACATACCTTTGTTTGATGTAGCTTGTCTTCATGAAGCTTGAGTGCCTAGTGCCCCAAGTGTGACACCTCAAATGGCTCACACAACATCATGTGCACTTGGAATGACTTGAGAGAAATTAGAACACTTCATAAAATCAGCTAGCCCTTTCTATCATCTCATAGTGGCCGATTTTTCCCAAGAATATGATCTTTATATAGTGTCACAATTAGGGTAAACCCTAATCGTCATGGCTTTCCATTTCCTTGGATCCATGGGTTCAAATACACCATAGAGCATCCATGGTGCATCTTATGGGTGTTAGCCAACTTGGCAATCCATGGAGCATTAGCCCACTATATAAGTATGGATGATTTACACTATCAACCCATATATTTAATTAGTCTTCTTTTGATCACTTAATTAATCCTAGAATAATTCTTGATCAATACTAATTAAATAATCTTATTAATATATTAAAACTTATAATATATTAACCAACCTTAAGTGTTATTTCACTCATTATAGGCTATCCAAATGCATGATGCCATGCAACCCAAATGGACCATGTTGGGTCGGGTCAAGTCTCACCAATTATAGTTATGAACTTAGACATTAATCCAACAACTGCGAGTGCATTGAAAATAGAGGTGAAATCACATCCTAAAGTCAACTTTTCCTTGTCTTATAGTATGCAGTTTTTTACGGCCAAAGTGTGGTCCACTAAGGGTGTTTATGGTTCTAAGTCTTTTCTTAGGGTTTTCAGCCAAAACATGATTCATTAAGGTAGCTATCAGCCATAGTGCTTTAGTGCATTGAGATTTCGGTCCTAGGCTCATCCTAGGGTGTGTTTTCAGTCCTAGTAGTATTATTGACTTAGATTTCGGTCCTAGTTTGTCTCTATAAAGTGTTTTCGGCCATAGTAGAGTTCTAGGCGATAATTCATAAAGGTAATGTTTAATGTGTGCTATCTTGTTGCCTTG